TTCCGATCTAATTCAAGCTCAGCGGATACCTCAGAACCTTCAGCCTGGAATCAAAACAGTGATCAGATCAGCAATAATAACAACATACATCCATTCATCAGTGTATATTACTTCAAGCTTCTGCAAATACATGCCTGCAGAACTTGAACATTTCTTTCCAGTTCAGATATGTATTGAAGCTTCCTAACTCGTGAACGTTGAGCAAATTGTCTGCATTACATGGCACCTTGTCTTAGTAAACTTTAATATGTTAAATAACACTGCATAATGTCCAAATAAACAGTACGAATAGCAGATAAGCGTCTGTTGGCAAATCACATAATAAAAGAAGACATATACTTCCACACCTAAAAATCAAAATACTCCCTCTCTATCAAGTTAGATGACAGATGACCATTTGATTGGTGCAAAGATTAAGAAAAATTCTTGAGTAAGTTGCTATATTGAAATTAGCTAGATATGTATGCTAAATACAAATAGAAATGCACCAATGTGGGGTAATTTATCAAGTATAAATCACGTAATAGGAAAAGTGATATAGGTTGTCTTTGTATTGTATTGATTGTTGAAGGTAGGGAAGGTTACTTTTAGTAAAGGGGTCCAGGAAATACAAGAGGATGAAAAAAAGAACAAGGTCAAGTAAGTTGAGAAGGTGGCCAGAGAAATGTTTCTGACACATTTCCGTAGCACAAAAATGAATGACTATGTTGGTAGATGTTAAATCCACCTATTTTTGTTAACATCTATGGATTGGTAAAGTTGTTATAGGTCACGGGTTCGAGCCGTGGAAGCAGCCACTAATGCTTGTATTAGGGTAGGATGTCTACATCACACCCCTTCGGGTGCGACCCTTCCCCGGACTTAGCACCGGGCTGCCCTATCTATGGATTGGTAGGATTCTGACACCGTAGGCTTTCCTTGAAAAATTCGAAGAGCACAGACTAGCCTACAGCCTTGGCCATAGGCCTGTCGCCTGTTCAGTGTATAATATTATCAAAGTTTAGAACATAAAAACCTCAGAATCGCAATACTTATTATCACTGTATCTTTTAAAAGATTCAGAAGAAAGTAACATGCTAAAATCCAAATATTTACCTTATTTGCTTTTTAGCAATAATAAAAGAAGAAGAGAATAACATGCTAAAAATACTTACAAGTGAAAGTTAGAATACCATTTATGGATCTCATATCCTGGTTATAAGCCTCCAACTAACCAAAACATCCAGTAAACTGATAGTACGGGCATGCAATGAAAATAAAGTAAAACAATAGACAAACAATGGAAACAGAAACAAACTATACTAAAAACAGAAACAAAGAAGTATCTTAAATATTAACTATCTTTTCTTGCAACTATCAACATACTGAAACTATTCATATTCACTTCCCAACTATGTCCTTTCGGGTTGCTGAGATAGTTACACTTACTGCTTTGCACGTTTCGTGTCATTTTCTGATGCAAAACTCTTACTGTGAGAAGAATCCTTTTTTTCACCAGATCCCTTCGGATCAGGAGTGACAGATTCAAGTAAATCCTGCTTGTCACTTCCTGCAGATTTGGGCCTCTCTCCTTCTTGTGGAGGAAATGATGATCCCAAGCTCTGAGTCTTGACATTTTCCCTAGAAGGTAGAAGACCACGGAGATGTGGTTTGGCATTTGGAGATGCATCCCTCGACCTACTCTTTTGTTGGTTTGAGGAGTTTTGATCAACATGAAATGTGGCATGCCGAGCATCTTTGTAATAATCAAAGTCTTGGGATCCCCAGGAAGCGACGGGAGTTATATTTCTGAATTTGTTATCATCTTGCGCTATGTAATCTAAGTTTGCAATATTAGCAGCATCAAAATATGTAAAGGAGTCACTAGATGAACGTCGGTGGCCACCTCTGCGTACAGGAGTTTCCGGCTCATTAAGAAGATCATCTAACCAAGATGGTTGCTCCTCTATAAGACAGCTTTCAGAAGAAGTACGCTGATGGTGTGAACCGTCTCTGCATTTCGAAATGCCCTTTTGGGTGACAGCAGAACTAGGGAGATAATCAACATACGGGGGACATGTGCTAGGAAACGGACTTTTAGGAGGCAGTAAAGAGCTCTTTCCATTGTACATCATATGTCTCATGCTAGATGGCCCCTTGGAATTTGCCATAGCAAAGCATGCAAGATCCCTGCTAAAGGATGAAATAAAGGTAAAATATATGAAAAGAAACAAAGGAAATTGTTTCCAAAAGTAAGAGCATAAAATTACCAATTTAAATCAATACTAGATAAATTAGAAGTAACTTATATTCCCCTACCCCCCCACCCCCCCCCCCAATCCAAACCAGCCAAAAGAAAGAAAAGAAAAAGGTAAACAAATAAACAGTCAAACTGAAAAAGAATCTAACTTACAATGGTAAAGTTATCCAGGATCGATTCCCATTACATCATGAGGCAAAGTTCACCAGAAATCCAAAAGATTTCTATACTAAAGACAAACTAACAGAAGCCAGTCTTCCAACCAAATATTAAGAGGAACTAAGAGCCATTGCTAATCCTTCTACACATTCATGTCACTATACAAAAATATTACACCCAATCATGGAATAGATGTTACACACAAATTGAAAAAGCTTGCTGCCTCTGCAGGCTGCAGCAGGTGGAGAAAGAGCACGTCAGGAAATGGACCACATGAATCACGGACGTTTTATTTAAGGATACTAAAAGCGAAAGAAAGGTGGAGGAAGAAAAGATGAAGGATCATATTTATCACCAGCAGAGGAGCAAAGAAGAATGAATGCTCCCCTCAAATTTGCAAAAGCTGTCAAGACACATATTCCAAAAGAACTGCCATCTTCTTATTTGTGCAATTTTTTTCTTTTTTCTTTGTTGTTCAGGAAAGAAGATTAAACGCATACAACATGTGGGAATCCAACAATTGATTAAAGCACTAAGCTTGCTACAAATCAAAGTCTGAACTATCTGCCCGTGGCTATATGTACCACTGTTTCATGATAAATTTACACTACCATTTTAGGGAGAGGGACCCACAATAAAAGAATAACAAGGGAAATACGAACATATAGTATCACAACTTCATCAAATGGATAAAAAAATCATTTCCTAACTTTGCAACAGGAAGCTATGCTTTTCTTTAGTTATGCTGTTTCGTGTAAAACAAAGAAGCATAGGTCTGACTTGGGGCCTGTAATTAAGAAGAAACTCCAACAGCATTGGAATTGGATGTTGTTTTGAATTTCTAGCTTCTGTATTTCATCAGAATAGTGTTAGCAACGGTCAAAACATTTTGGTGGACAGGTACAAATTATGGATCAAACTTTGAGGAATCCTGTTACAGGCTTTTGTTCAACTTAGGAGCAAATTTATAGAATGGAATTTACTTGGAAGATAGGATCGAAGAGTGCATCTCCTCTGGCTTGGATAGCAGTTACCAAAGCATAACTTTGCTATACATGGTTGAAAGAACACATTGAATGTCAATCAAGTGTAGCATAAGTGTGTAACTCTAGATCACTACAAACAAGTAGCTCCAAGCATCAAAGTTTAAGGAAATAAATAAAACCCCTGCCTTGATGAAGAGCTTATGAAACTAGTTGTCATTCAAAATGAAAAGCACACATAAGCAGGACAATAAGGCTTTCAGCAACATTATCTGTTCAGGTGTGCATTTGGGAACTATTAAATCATAGCACAAAGTTTCCAGCCAGGATAACCCAAACTGCATTCTATGATATTCGAAAGGTCAAGCTGTAGCTTTGCTTCTTCTCTGCGGGCACTTAAGGATCAATCTCTGTCGACTAATTGATTATATCATGGGAACCCCATGTGTAACCATTAACCAACAACAACAAATACTAAGCCTCAATCCAAAGTAGTTGGGATGGACGACATGAGTCATTATTATCCATTATGTTATATTTGGGCATGTTTCGTTCCACTATTCGATAACACTTGGTGTTTAAGACAAATTAAGGTCTCTCTAAAACTAAAAGTTCTTTAAATCCCACACTTATTCCTGCACTGACACACAAATCTCGAGATAAACAAAAAACAAAAATCCTGGAAAACACCAGTAAGTAATCAAAATTCAAAAGAATACCGACATGATGAAGCCTTGATCCCAACTAGTTGGTACAATCAGAGCTTTTTCATATTGAACATCTTAACGAGGAGCCATGAATTGCCATTAACTCAACTAATGAACAATTAGGAAACCAAGTAAATTCAAAAAAAAAGGACGAAACTTTCCCCCAAATCTCAGGTTAACAGAATAACTTTTTTTAAATTTTTTTTTTTTCTCAACCAACATGCAAATCCAATTGATCACACAAAAAGGACAAAGAAAAAAAAAGATTCAACCATTTCCCTTTTCCCCTTCTAATTCTTCCCCATTTAATCAACCCACATCCCCCAGCAACCAAATAGATAATTTCAACTATAATTATAAAATTTTAAAAAAAAATCAACTAATGAAGATGTGAACATAACTTTACCAATGAAAATGCTGATCTCAAATCAATGTGATTCAGTGGTGAAAATTTGAAGATTCAATCAATTTTATATTCGAATCTCTTTCTTCTTTGCTAAATCTATCAACTACTTTCTCGTTGACGTCTCATGTCGAAAAAGGGACACAGACAGCTCAAAATGAGATGGTTTTATTACTTTTATTATTTTTGCACTATCATCCCCAATGTTCTTGGATATTCCTGTATAGATCCCTACTATTTTGCCCTCTTTTCAACTTTTACGTAGACAACAAATAGCAGGTTGCAGATTTGGATAAACATATTTTTAATACCTAGTGTATGAATTGTTTGATTATAATGTATCATCGAAATAATAGACCTAAACAACACGAATATAGACAGATAATCGATTTTCATGAATTTGGTGTTGTATTGTTAATTGATTGATTTTAAAGAGTGCAAAAATGAGTGAGTTGATACAGAATCTGAATCGTAATACTTGTTACCTCATAGTTACTTATATAGTTAACAATTTACAATTATGAACAACGTATATTGAGAGTGATTGCTATTAATTTGAAATTGAAGCGTTGTTGATTGATTATTCTATTAAGAATAAAGGTTTACTTGTGATCTTTTTTCATCGTAAATTGTGCAATTGAAAAATTCTCTTGGTATAGGGTCACTTATTAAGCATTTTCTAATAAATCCTCAAAATAATGCACCTAAACAAGACGAATATACACAAAGAATTGATTTTCATGAATTTGGACATATTATATTGGTTGATTGTTTGATTTTAAAGAGAGTAAAAATGAGTTAGGTGATATAGAATTTGAGTCGCGACAGATTTACTTGTGGCCTCTTAATTATTGAATTGTATAATAATTTATAATTATGAATAATGTATACAGAGAATTGCCATTAATTTGAATTAAGGTTTACTAATAGTCTTTTTTATCACTAAAGAATTCTCTTGGTATACAAGGGATCGTTTGGTTGGAATATGATTTATATCGGTATAAGTTATGCCGGTATAAGTTATATTGGAATAAGTTATGCTGGGATTGTTGTTTATTCATTGTTTGGTATGTTGTATTAAGAATGACAATTGCATAATTTCTAAGAAGAAGGTATAAGTTATACTGGTATTAATTACCCCACTTTTATAAGGTATAAGTTATCCCAGTGTTAAAATTAACACCGGGATAACTTATACCTGGTTTACTAACCAAACAGAGTATAAGGTGGTATTAAATTTTTATACCACCCTTATACCTTCTTATACCTCATACCAAACGACCCCTTATAGTGTTACTTATTACTCCTCCGGTTCACAATAAGTGTCCAATTTGCTTTTTCATTTTGGTTCAAAATAAGTGTCCAGTTATGTAATCAAGAAAGAATTCAATTTGTTTTTACAAAATAAACCCTATGTACATATCCCTAAAAAGTTTTCTTACTCCTCACATTAAATGTTTAATTAGGGGTAGTTTAGTCATAGTAGGTATTTTTGTATGAAATTTAGTATTTTCTTAATGGGCGTGCTAAAAGCAAATTGGACACTTATTGTGAACAGGAAGGAGTAAGTATTTTCTTGACTTTTTGTGGTGTTAGTTAATATCTGAGGCCATTAATGACAACTTTTTCCTTTTAAGTATTGTGAAGGAAAAGATTTTGCCATTAAATTTTGTAGTATTATTGTTGTCAAGAACTGTCACAATCATATACAATGAGGACGGCTCATAACTCACTCAATAGTGTTGTATGAGTTGCAGGCATAATCTTTACAACTCATTTTATACTACCACGTTATGTTTTCCAATAATAGTGCATTCTTAAGAGAGTTTAAGGGTGTGTTTGGTATGAAAGGAAAATATTTTCCGGAAAATATTTTTAATTTTCCCATGTTTGGTTGGCTTAAATGTTTTGGAAAACATTTTCCTTATGAACTCATAAAATGTTTTCCTTATCAAGAGAAAGGAAAACATTTTCCAAAACTCTTTCTCAACCTTCCCTACCCTCACCAACCCACCCCACCCCCTCACTCCAAAAAAGGTTTTTTCTTTTTTTTTTTTTCAAATTTCAGTTTTTATGTAACCACCCACCCTACTACCCCTCTACCCCACCCCAACCCCAAACCCACCCCTCCACAAAAAAAATATTACTTTTTTACCTATTTTTATTGTAATTTCAAATTTTTGTTTTTTATTTTTACTGTCACCTACCCACCCCAACNTAATTTAAAATTCTGATTTTTTCGTTTCCCCCACCCCGAAAAAAAATATTTTTTAATATATTTTCAGTTTTATTTTTTTTATTTACCCGTTTAAAGGTTCAAATTTTACAAGTTCCTAAGTTATGAGTTCGGAGGTTTATGTATTTGGAAGTTTACGGGTTAGAAATTCTGCGGTTTCGATAGTTTAGCGGTTTGAAAGTTTATGAAAAATGTGGGTTCGGAAGGTTGTTGGTTTGAAAGTTTATGGCTTCATGTTTGTTATATCTAAATTATTTATGGATACTCTTGAGAAGTCATTTTTCTTAATTTGCGTACCAAACACCGGAAAATAAATAAGATTACTACTTGTTTTCCAAAAAAACATTTTTCACGGAAAACATTTTCAGTTATACCAAACACACCCTAAGTTTTACACGTTCAATGTTTATTTTTTTGCATTAACAGAATTTAGAACTTAAACTCCTTCAATATATACATTTTGTACCAATAATTCACACCAAACCATCTATATTATAGCTTCATGTCAATAGGATACTAAATTTGTTATACTGTCTAGTGAAGCACAAGCGTCAAAATACACAGTATAATTTGTAGGAGTCACACTAGTCTGAAATGACAGAGAAATAAATTTACAATATCATTATAGTTTTATTCAATGTTTTAAAAGACGGGGCGTGAAGCGAGGCGTTTTACCTCTGACGAAGTGAGGCGTAAGCCCTGAGACATGGGGCGTAAGTCCCAGAGATCTTTAAATTTACTAATTTCAAGATAATATAAAATAAGAAATAATTATAAAATTACATTAAAATCACAAAATTATAACAAATAATCTATTTAAAATATTCATAAATTATAATTCAACTATGAATAATACAAAAAGTATGATATATATCAAATATTCAAATTAGCTGCAACGTCGTTACAACTCAAACATCAAAAGTAATGTATTCGATGTGAAATCTTATATGTATCACTTAAGAAGTAATGAAATTTGAAAGAATTTCGATATTATAATTTGATATTTTTTAAATACTCCTTTTATTTAATAATATGCTTTCTATTTGAAAGAGAATTTATATAAAGATATAATTCACAATTTAAATATGATTCTCTTGCATCATTTATTTTTAAGTTTCAACAAGTTAATAAAGTGAAACATAATTCACCATACCATGTCATGATAACTAATTATTTGTAAATAGTTACTAGCTAATATTGCGCTATTAAATTAATAAGTACTGTATCTCGTAAACATGAAAAACAATATTTAGGAAAATAATTATAAAAAAAATTATGGACTAATATAATAAAGACATAACAAAAGTTAATAAATAAGTACTTTTAAATGAAAGATTTATTTAGAATTTACTATCATAGCAATCTTAGTGGATACGTGCAATAATTTTTCTTTTTATTATGACATAAAATACTCTCAACTTAATGGTTTATGATTAAGAAAAAAGTAATTTTAAATACTTAACGATTTATTAAGAAAGTTTGAGGATTTACAAGGTTAGTTACACACAATTGCATAAAGTTTTATTAGGCGCGCCCAGTACGCTGGGCGTTGGGCGTGTCCGAGGCGTAAGCCTCGACGGCCGAGGCGTAAGTCTCACGGAACTAAGCCCCACACATAAGCCCAGGGGCGTTTTACGAGTGCCCCGCTCCAGGGCGAGTCCCAATTCTACCTTTTAAAATAGAGGTTTTATTAACTTGAACGAAAAACAAGATAATTAATTTTAGACACCGAAATACATGAACTCTATTAATTTGAACAAAGTTAGAGGTAAAATTTCAATATGAAGATGTTATTACTTACACGGTCTTTTTGTAAAAGTTGGTTAAAAATTGAAAGGAAATGGAAGGACAGGAGAGTAAATATTGAGTATAGTGGGCCCCAACTATTTATCAGTTAGGAGTAATTAGTTATAACTATCATTAGTTAGTTAGTTAGTTGGTATTTTTGTATAAATACAGTAGTTAGTTAATAGTATTGTACAACTATTCATTCTTCTTTTGGTTAGCTAATACTTCCTCTGGTCCACAATAAGTGACCAATTTACTTTTTTATTTTGGTCCAAAATAAGTGTCCATTTATATAATCAAGAAAAAATTCAATTTGTTTTTCCAAAATTACCCTTATGTACGTATCCCTAAAAAGTCATTTACACCTCACAGTTGAGAAGAGAAGTATGTGCTACTATAACTATGCTGCAATATTTAATTAAGGGTAGTTTAGTCACACTAACTATTCTTGTCTAGAATTTAGTATTTCCTTAATGGGTGAGCCCAAAGCGAATTGGTCACTTATTGTGGACCGGAGGGAGTAACAGAGATTGCATTTCCTCTCATTTCTTCTTCTTCTTCTAGAATCTTCAAGTCCTGCCATGGCGGAAGCTCCTTAACATGGTATCAGAGCTTGGTGCTCGATCTCCTCAAGCTCGGCCGTGAGAGAACTTGAATCATTCAACTGTATTGAAGCATCCTTGCATCGATTTGATCGGCTATTTTTTCAACACAGAATCTCCCTGCTCGACCTAGGGTTTGGGAATTTTTGATTTTCTGGTTGAATCACGGCCAGATTGTGTCCAAATTTGTGTGGATTTGATAAAATTGTAAAGATCTCTAGTGAAGCATTTGCTGCTATGACTATGTCGGCCAATGAAAAGGTAGTTGGTTCTCCTGTTGCTGCTTCAATGTCTACAGAACTCGCCGACCACAATCATCCTCTCTACATTCATCCTTCCGATACTCAAGGTTTTGTTCTCATTTAT